CTATAAGAAGGCATTTGACAGTGTGGATTATACAAATTAAGAAAACTAAGAAGAATGGGAATTTCAGAACATGTAATTGTGCTCATGCATACATAACCCATATATAGACTGAGAAACAGTTTATTTGAACAGAACAAGGTAGTGAATATTTCACGATTTAAAAATGAGGATAGGTGTATGTTATTGTTGTTGTTGTTAAGTGCTATCGAGTCATAGACGACTCACAGTGACCCTATGAAGGGAGGATCTGAACACCTGCATAACTTTTATCATTTCTCCAGTTCATAGAGTTTCCAAAGGCAAGTTATTTCCGAAGTGGATGCCACTCCTGTTTCAAAGCTTGTTTTAATCGGGGAGCTCCACCAAACACTGTCCACCATGGGTAACCGTTCTCGCACTTGACACGTCAGTGTAGCATCACAGCAACCATGAGTAACCTCTGTACAGCAAGTGGACCAGTACTATACCACTTAAAAGAATGTTTGACCAAAATCAATTAAAACTAGGCCTGAGTGCCACAGATGAAAATCACCCACCTTTGGTTTGGTAGCATCACTTTCTATCCACTAGGTCAACAGAACTCTCTCGGAAAAGGTGTGTATCAGAATGCCATCCTTTCTGCTAAGCAATAACTCCAGAAGAATGTGGACTCAGGATTGGAGGAAAACTCATTAACAACCTATGTTATGCAGATGATACAGACTGCTTGAAAGTAAAGACGTGAAGCTCTTACTGAAGATCAACGACTACAGCCTTGAATATTAATTCTATCTCAACATTAAAAAAAAAAAATTCTCACAACTGGACCAAAAGGAAACACTATGATTGAAGGAGAAAAGACTGAAGTTGTCAATTTCATTTCACTTGAATCCACAATCAATAATTATAGTAGCAGAAGTACAGAAATCAAAAGATATTCTGCACTGGGTACATCATCTGTCAAGGACTTCATTAAACAGCAAGGATGTCAATTTAAAGACTAAAGTATGTCTGACTCAAGCCAAGGTGTTTTCAATTATTTTGTATACATATGAAAGTTGGTCAATAAATAAGAAACAGGAATGAATGTCTTTAATTGTGTGCTAGCAAAGGGTACTGAATACACTATAGACTTTAAAAAACAAAAAACACACCAAAAAAAAAAAAAAAAACCCCCAAAAAAAAACACAACAAACAAATCTGTCTTGGAGAAAGGGGAACCAGAGCACTAGTTTAGCAAAGCTGCTAAAATTTTGTCTCACCAACTTTGGGCCTGTTGTCAGGAGAATAGTCCTTGAAAAGACTAAAAAGTCTGACACAGTCACTGCTAGAATGAACTTGAGCAGGGTGGAGATGGTACAAGGTCTGTTGTTCACCACTGTTGAGTTGTAGGTGAATGGATGGCACCTAACATCATGATACTTTAAGTACTGCGGCACTCACTGACTTTCTCCTCCTCTGAACTACAAAGGTATCATTTAATTATGGTATCCTGATCAATTTCTTAATTTTTGCCTACTAATTCTAGATATATTAAATCTGAGGACAGCAAACATGACATATAGTTGTGTATTCTCTATGTTTCAGGAAGCTTGACAATAACTAAGGATGACAAAAGAATTGATGCCTTTGATTTGTGGTGCTATAGAAGAGTACTGAATATACTAGAACAAACAGGTTTATCCTTAAGAGGGTGAAATCCAGCTGCTCCTTCGAGGCAAGGATTTTAAAGTTCTATCTGTCGTACTCTGGGCATATTGCAAGGAGGAACCAGTCATTGGAGAGAAGGGTGGAGGGACAGCACAAGAGAGGAAGATCCTGGGTGAGATGGATTGACTCAGTGACTGGAATAATGGGGGATGGTGTGTCGGAGACAGTGAGACTGGCTCAGGATAGGGCAGGGTTCAGAGCTGTTGTGCACAGGGTTGCTATGAATTGCAGGTGACCTGATGGCCCGTAACAACAACAATTCCTACATCAAAAAATCATATAGAATTCACTCTGTGAGCCAATGGAAAAAATAAAGCTTTCTTATTATTTCTATGGTTTCTAATTTAACACTAATAAACCAAAAATCCCAAATCAGTTACCACTGTGTTGATTTTGACTCATGACAATTCCACGTGTGCAGGATACAACTGTGCTTCACAGCGTTTTGTTTATTTAAAGGTTGTGATCTTTAGCAGTGGGTCACCAGGCCATTTTCCATAGTGCCACGGAGTAGGTTTGAACTGGCAACCTTTGAGTTAATGGTGAAGTACTTTAACCATTTCTACCCCCAAGAGAATCTGAGCAAAACTCACAACTGGAACAGTAAGCAACATAATGACAAATGGAGTAAAGACGGAAACTGTCAAGGATTTCATTTTACTTGGATCCACAATCGACAGGCATGGTAACAGCTGTCAAAAAAAATCAATGTACTGCCCTGAGAAAATCTGCTGTCAAAGATCTCTTTAAAAAGAGAAAAAGGATGTCACTTTTAGGCTTAAAATATGCCTCACCTAATCCATAATATTTTCAATTGCCTCATATGCATGTGAAATTACATAATGAATAAGAAGGTCAAAGAAGAACTGACATCTTTAAATTGTGAAGACTACTGAATTTATCACCACTGCCAAAAAAACCCAAACAACTATACCTGTCATGGAAGAAATACAGCTAGGGCGTTCCTTCTTAGAAGCGAGTCTGGTGAGATTCAGTCTCACATACTTTGGCCATGTTATCAGGACAAGTCAGTCCCTGGAGAACCTCATGCCCAGCAGAGTGGAGGGTCAGCCAAAAAGAAGACCCTCAAGAAGATCTGACAAAGTGGCTGCTACAAAGGCGTCACCTTTGGACTATACTTAATGTTTACAACAGCAAATTTGAGGAAGGCACAAACCAACACAAAACAATATCCAACAAGAACAGAGATAAAAATTAACACACAAAAACTGCTTGAGGCACTTAACCTTGGTCCACCTTCTCATCTGTAAAATGAGAAAACTTAATTACCAATGTTTTGCAAATTGTGTTCTGGGAACCCCAAAGTACCAGAAAGCTCCTTTTTATTGTGCAGGTGGGAGGATGAAGGGGATAGTGTGCTAACTATAGCTCTTCTCAGCCTCAAGTAAAACAGTTACTGTTTTATACACTGGCTTCTAGATAGCAGGTCCTTTAAACAAATGGGCTCTGGGTTAAAAATAGTTATCTTGCTGTTGCTGATTGCCTTCGAGTTGAGCACGACTCATAGTGATGCCATGAACATAATGCCTGAAGCTCTTCTACAACCACTGACATTTCTCAAAGTTCATAGAGTTTCCAGAGGTATGCTATTTAGGAAGTGGATGCCACTCCTGCTTCCAAAGTCATCTAGCAGAAGTGTTTTAAGAGGTTTCTACCATCTCTGAAATGTTAAGTTTAGATATAAGAGAAAAAAGCAGTTAAGAAACAAGAGCACTGGCTCCCCAATAAGAATGCTGGATTTGAATTCTGGCCCTACCATTGCCTGTCTCAGATGATGCATTTAACCTCTTTGTGATTCCCTGTTTAATGTAGAAAAGTACTTCAGAGGTAGTGCACAGAACATACTCAGTGCTCAATAACTATAAATTTCTGTTTCTACTATGTTATACTAGACTCTTGCATCAGACAAAAATCTAAACATTAAATATATTTCAAATAATGAAGCTAATTTTTACACTTGTTCAGCGCCACCGAGTAGGAGCCACAGCGATCCTATGAACGACAAAACTGAACTTTGTTTTATCTTATGCCATCCTCATCATCTCTGATATACTGAGCCCAATGCTATAGTCACTGTATCTATCCACCTGGTTTAAGAGTCCTTCCTCTCCTTTGCTGACTCCTCTGCCTTTCCAAGCATGTTGTCCCTCTACAAGGAACAGCCTTTCCTAGCAACATGCCTGAAGTATGTAAGATGAAGTTTTCACTGTACCAGAAAGAACCGGTTAACATTGAAAATTAAGGAAGTCCCATATGAGCTCTTCACACTTTTATGTCTTTAATTCTCATAAAGAAAGATTAATAGTGGGCATTTTCCTTTTTCTCCTATTACATATGCTCAATTGCGAACATGGTTTAGATCCAGAGATTACAAGGTTACATGAGAGTTGGCACTATGAAAATAAGGAGGATGACTACATCACCTAGAGACTTCCAAATTATACCATGGCATAACTGCTAAACCACCAAGAATCATGGCCCTGCCAAAGTAAGCCATGATCTTAACTTCTGCAGCCAGAGTTACTCTTGACTTGCACATTGGCATTCACATCCTTGGGGTTCTTTACCATCATATGCATGTGATTAATGAGCAAAACAGCCAAACAACTAATTTTTTATTATCTTCATAAATGCAAAATGTCAGTGAGTCAGTGATAAAGTAGTAGGAGAGTAGGTTTATCTAGAATAAGAGGGAACTAGATGAAGTGTCAGATTCATAGCTTTTGTCCCTTTTGTGGAGTTAAAAAATACCAAAATGACAACAAAAATGGCAGATACAATACAACTTTCACCCTCATAAATCTGGTTGTGTTGAAGTTTCAACTACATTCCCTAAGTATCTACTGCTTCTTTCCTATAATACAGGAAGCTTCTTAACAAGGCATTCTTTCTTTCTATGTGTAACAGAATTATAATCCAATTACTTTACATACTACATGGTTTTCTGGAGAAAAGCACTCCAATTTCTAGTTCTAGCCACAAAACTATCACAATCATGTTTTATAGAATATGGGAAGCTCAATCTGTCCGTATTTGTGATCTTCGTTTCTCTGTATATTAATGTCTTTTTAAACTTTACAACTTTTTAATAGTTACATAACTATATTCTGGTTTTTCAACTTCTGAACCATCTTATCTCCAAATACAATGCAGGAAAGAATCCTAGCTTCTTTACAAATTTCTTTTAATCTTCATGAAAAAACCTGAAATTTCATTTCAAACAATAATGTTTAAACAGAAATACCATATTTTAATTAATATTTTGTACAAAAAAGTGAATGTTTACTTACTATTAGTTGCTTGCACATTTTCCTCTAGTTTACAAAGCACTCTTAATTCAGACACCAGCCAAGCACAGAGTTTGGTAAATTCCGGGGAACTGGCTCCACCAGAGACTGCCTGAGACAGTGCGCCATCGTCCAACAAAGGACCCTTGTAACTGGCAAATTAGAAACCACAATTTAGAAAAACACAACTTATTTATTTTAAATTAGTATTTCCATCTAAGTATAATTAAGTAATAACAGTAAAGAAATTATGAATCATTTCTAGACTTGTAAATACATTTACAAGTATATAAAAATTAGAAAAATAAATGGTAAATGTCTCAAATCATGCAAATACTTAAAGATTACTAAATTATGTCATCCACATTTTACTGAAAGTTCTTATCAAAGGCTTATTTTCTTAATTAACTAAAGTATTAAAGTCAGACTAACAAGTGATAGCACTGATCTATGCCCTCTAGTATCTCACTGGATCTTTTCTAATTCCTTCACATTCAAATTTCACCAATTTTAAAGTACATGTTCTTCAGAAGATTATCTTAAGTTCTTTTAAATACTGACAAAAACACCAAAATTAAAGATGATATATTAAATATACCTTAGATAACTTGATGTTCAGACGTATAGTTATGTTAGAGACATGGCAATACTTGAACCTTGTAAACATTAAGTACACGTTCATTTATTAAATGGAAAAAAATGATACACACAAAAAATGAGACTGTGTGTGGTCTGGCATCTAGATTTTAAAACCGCATGTTATTATTAAGCGGTACGATAAAGACATCAGGTCTAGACATTACTTCTTGTATTTTACATTTGGACTTCATTGGTTTATTTAACCATGTTACCAAACTCCTCCTATGCGTTGTGCCTAGGTAGAGGTAAGAGGTACTATCATTCAGTTACAGTATTTCTCATTGAATTCCTCAAAACAAGAAAAGATGATGTAGTGGGGAAAGGGCAAAAGAACAATACTGAGGAGGACAGCATCTATTCTCAGGCAGCCTAGACCTATGCAGAGTGGGATCTCAGCCACACAAGTGTTCTTCGAAACTGTTTGCTGAATGAATGGTATTATATGTGGGCAGGTAATCCAGCCAGAGAACGCGCGCACACACACACACACACACGCGCGCGCACACACACACACACACACATACACACAAGTATTTTGCCAAATATGACTTATACTTGTGCCTAATCAAAGTCATAAGTCTCCATGTTGAGAATATTAACTATTCAAGTTTCATAGAAAAGAAGAACCATAATTCACTTTGACCAGGAAAAAAAAAAAAGATAAAGCACTACTATCTTGTGTAAATATTTCTACCAACACAGCAAGTTACTTAAATAGGCTATCTCTGAGAGCTCGATCCTTTTCTAAAGAGGAAAGGGTTGCTCCAAAGGTTTCTATGCCATTTAAAATAAAAGGAGAGGATAAGAGAAGCATTAAAGGATAAAGGTTTTGCTATTTTATAAACACAGCTAAATGTGCAGTTTTTGTATCACCTGTAACATTTAATCATACAATTTCTTTCTGGAATCCCATTTATCCAATGGGGTTCAGAAGTCTTCAAGTTTTAGGAGTGTACTGATCTAGGTGGGATAAGCTTGTAGACAGATACTAGAAAACTGTGGCTAGGTAATTTCAGGTGGAGAAACTGAAATATATGCAAGGGCTGGATGCGCGAAGACGATCCTAAGGGCCACGGGTGCTCAATGAAGCTGACTGGTAAGTGAGGCAAGGGTTCACTCGGTGGTCCCCTTGGAGATGGGGATAGCTGAGGTGTTCCAGCGAGCCGGCTGGGGGACGGATGCAGAGCACAGACAGGAGGATCGGGGAAACCAGGATACATGCGGAGATGACTGAGCAAAGGCAAGAAGCGAGGTGGGGCAGGAGCAGAGGCTTAAGAGTAGACAGACATGAAGTTCGGGGGGCAAGTAGGGAAAACACATAAGCAACTTTAGCAACCTCCGGAGTGGGAGCGAGGGCAGGTGGATTGAGAGGGGGAAAAAAAGCAGCTGAGGGCGGGGGGTTGAGAACCAGCGCCCAGACAATGACACGCATGACTGACAAACCCTGCTGGTTAACTCGGCTGCAGAGATCACAGGAAGGACCCAGGGGAGTCAGAGAGAAGGGCCTCAAGCCAGTGAAGCAAGCAGTGGACGTGGCATTGGGGTTCCCGGGGCGACAGAGGGGCGAGAGCCCAGGAGCCACGGGGTGCGGCAAGGAGGCAGGAGTGTCTCAAACTGGGGCGGAAGAGTTGCCGAGGGGCAGGCAGTGTAGAGTTCGGAAGACTCATGCCATGGCACTCTTACCCTAGATCTTCCAACGACTCCAAGATATCAGTCTCCATGAGGTCACACTCCATGCTACTGTGGTATTCAAATTTCCGAGTCGTCAGGCTCCCCTCTTCGCCGGCACCGCGTACACTCGCGCATGCGCTACCTCCCCAGAACGTCCAAATCGACAGCTGGCGCCTCAGCCGCCGTGCTGCGCATGCTCCGAGCTTGCGCAGGACCCTGGGTCCCGCCTGCCGCCCCACCCCTTCAAGGCAGAGGGCTCTCTGGAGGCTTGACTTTGCACATGCGCATTGCCTGACTAGTGAAGCCAACCGCCAGTAAAAGGGCAAGAGGACCGGCTGCGTGGCAGCTGGGCGTGGAGATCCGGCGAAGGGGGAGCGCTTTAACCTGGTTGTATTGGATATACGCATGTGCGGATCTCGGGGCCAGGCGGGCCAAAGAGAAGGCTGAATAGTTTAGGACTTGAGTGGATGTTGCCTAGAAGCGAGGTCCCTGGACCCTGGGAGCTCGCGGCTTACTCGCAGCTTTAGCTTGTGAGTCATGGAGAGGGGAAAAGTCACAAGAGTATGTCTGATTGCCCACTGCTTGGACGGACGAGTCAAGTCCCAACGACAGCAAATAATGTGCCTTTGGATTTCCTTGAGGCTGCAAAAACTGTATTTCATAGTTTTGGGACGTAACAGTTCTTTGACACGGATGTATTCATAAAGTTGTGCCTTTTTCCTCTTAAGAACTTCTTAAACCTTCCGAGCCCCTAAATAATTTTACTTTAAAGGCGCACGGGACGTCACTTCATTATCATACATTTAAATGCATCCATTTCAGGCAGTGAATAAGCACTTTTGTTGTAATGATAATGCGTTTGGCATTATTTGGCTAGGTATAATATTCAATTCCTGGCAGTTTTGGGAGAGAGGAGTACTGAATAGCCCTTGAACTGTCAAAGAATAAACAAAAGTATGTTGGAAGAAGTGCAACCAGTGTTCCTTAGAGAAAAGGATGGTGAAACTTGGCCTCGCATATTTTGGGCATGTTGCCAGGAGAGGCCAGTCCTTGGAAAAAGACCTCAAGCTAGGGAAAGTGAAGATCAGAGGAGAAACCTCCAACAAGATAGGTTGACATAAAAACTGTAACAATAGGCTCCAATATATGGGCAGAGATGGGGAGAATGGCCCAGAATAGAACAAGGGTCAGCTCTGTTGTTCTTAGGATTGCTATGAATTGTAGTGGGCTCAACAAGAACATGAACGTGCTTTGAAATTGTTGGAAAATGAGAAATAAATTGTTTTCAAAACAATGGTGTATTTAGAAAATTATATTTGACAATAAATTGACATAGTATTACTTTGCCTAAGCATTTAATTAAAGAGTTTTTAAAATTGATGCCAGTAGATTTTATTCTGTGTTGTTGTTGATTGCCAACTCATAGCGACCCTATGAACAAAAGACCTGATTCCTTTCTATAACTATTGTCGTTTTTCAACATTCATAGAGTTTCCAGAGTTACGTTGTTTAGAAATTGGATGCCACTTCTGCTTCCAAGGATTTTACTCTTCTTTTCAACCTATATGCAGAACAGATTATCTGGGAGGCTAGGCTGTATGAGGAGAAGTGTGGCTTCAGGATTGATAGAAGATTCATCAACAATCTGTGTTATGCAGAAAGCACAACCTGCTTGCTGAAATGGAGGTGGACCTGAAGAGCTTGCTGCAGAGGGTCAAGAACTGCAGCCTTCAATATGGATTGAAGCTCAATGTCAAGAAGACAAAGATTCTCACCACTGAGCCAACTGGAAGCATCATTATGGATGGTGAAGAGTTCAGGATTATTAATAGCTTTCGTTTGCTTGGCTCCACGATCAACATTCAGAGTTATTGTATATATATATATATATGTTGTTGTTATGTGCCGTCGAGTCACCTGTGACTCATAATGACCCCATGTACAATAGCCCTAAAACCTGCTCTATCCTGTGCTAATCCTCTGACACACCTACTCCTTACCCGTCACTGAATCAATCCATCTCATCAAGCGTTTTCCTCACCTGTACTGTCCCTTCAGCCTGCCAAGCATGACGTCCCTCTCCAAGGACTGGTTCCTCCTTGCAACATGTCCAAAGTATGTCAAACGAAGTTTCAGAGTCCTTGCCTCCAAGGAGAAGCCTTGTTTAACCCCCTCCAGGATGAACCTGTTCTCTTGGCAGTCTGTGTTATATTCAATATTCTTCTCCAACACCACAGCTCAAAGGCATCAATTTTCCTTCTATCCTCCCTAGTCATTTTCCAGCTCTCTGATGCATAGTATGTGCTTACAAAGACCATGGTCTGGATCAAGCATACTTTAGTCTCCAGACTGACATCATTGCTCTTCAATACTTTGAAGAGGTCTCTGACATCAGACTTTCCCAATGCAATATGTCTTTTAATTTCCTGGCTGCTGGTGCCAAGAATGTTGATTGTTGAACCAAGCAAACTAAAGCTGTTTGTTGTTGTTAGGTGCTGTTGAGTCATAGAAGACTTATAGGGACCCTATGAACGAAAGGCCTGAGAACTGTTCATAGACTTTCCAGAGGCAAACCATTTCGGAAGTAGATGCCACTCCTGCTTCCAAGCTTGTTTTAATTGGGAAGCTCTACCAAACACTGTCCACCATGGGTTACCATTATCACATCTGGCACATCAGTGTCACAGTGTTTAGCATCACAGCAACCTCTGTACAGTAATGCACAGACAGTGCTATACCACCAAGAAGAACAGGCCCGAAGGCCGCAGATTAAAATCACCCACTGTGGGCTTTCTCAATTTTTTTCCCCGTCCATTTTGATGCTGCCAATTGGCCCAGTGATGAGACTCTTTGTTTTCTTGATATTGAGCTTCAATCCATATTGAAGGCTGTACACACACACACACACACACACACACACACACACACACACACTTGATTGCATATAACAACAACAACAATAGTACCTTATTTAAAAATATATTTGTTTTTATGTTTTATGGTTGGGAGCTGGAAATTAACATTTATGATGTACCTAAAGGAACCCACCAAGACTTCTCAGAAGAAAGATGGGCAATTTGCTCACCTTTGAGATTGACAGCCTAGATGAGAAACATGATGTGAGGCAGTTCTGTAGGATATAAACCCTATAGAACTAGGGTCTTATGAATAGAATTGACACCATGACAGTGAATTAAAGAACCTATGGTTGCTAACAAAATCTTGGCAAGTTAAAATCACCTATTTTTAAGAAAGAAAAAGTATTTGCCATCTATTCAGATAAAAGATTATAGCTTAATAAACCTTCCATGGCACTTCTACCCTGTCATGGCTCATGGGGTCATGATGTGCTAGAATTGGCTGGATGGCATGCAGCAACATAGATGCATGTACCAACTGGGTACTCGCTGTGTTATCACTCATAAGGTTGTGTAGTACTGGCATAGTGATAGACATATATCAAAAGAATGTTGTTTTTGTTGTTAAATGCCATCAAGTCATAGGCAACTCATAGCAACCCTATGAACGAAAGTCCTCGACACTTGTGTGACTTTCATCCTTTCTCCAGGTTCGTAGGGTTTCCAGAGGCAAGCTATTTACGGAGGTGGATGCCACTCCTGCTTTCAAGCTTGTTTTAATCGGGGAGCTCCACCCAACACCGTCCACCATGGGTAACCATTATCACATTCAACACTTCAGTGTCACAGTGTTCAGCTTCGCAGCAACCACAAGCTACCTCTGTACAGCAAGTGGACATACCAGGCCTAAACGACCTAGAAGAATGTTTGAACAAAAACAATGAAAGACAGGCCTGAGGGCCATAGATTAGAAGTCACCCACCTTTGGCTTGGTAGCATCACATTCTGTCTACTAGACCAACAGATCTCTCTCTATGTTGGTGTTATTGCTGTGTTAAGTGCCGTCAAGTCGTAGGCAACTCATAGCGACCCTATGAATGAAAGTCCTCAACATTTGTGTGACTTTCATGCTTTTTCCTGGTTCATAGGGTTTCCGGAGGCAAAGTATTACGGAAGTGGATGCCACTCCTGCTTCCAAGCTTATTTTAATTGGGAGCACCACCAAACACTGTCCACCATGGGTAACCAACCATTAACACATTTGACACATCAGTGTCACAGTGTTCAGCTTCACAGCAACCACAAGTTACTACTGTATGGTCAGGGGACACACTAGGACTATATGACCTAGAAGAATGTTTGAACAAAAACAATGAAAACAGGCCTGAGGGCCCTTCAGAATTTTACCATTCAGGCACGTCCAAATGCTGGCAACCTCTGGGGCCAGAGACTCCCAGTTCATCGGCAAGTCCGCTCTGCCGACATCCACTTGTGGCAAAAAGAAAGCCACAAGCAACCGAGCGTTCCATCGTGGCATTTCTTCCAGAAAAGAGAATAAAACAGTTTAACAACATATGTGCAGTAAGGGTGATTTTTAATAATGCCAAGGCAACTCGGGGTGCTGGGGGGTGGGGGGAGATGGGTTTGACTACTTATCACTGAGGTGAATTCTGACTTATGGTGTGACCTTATACACGTGTTAGAGTAGAGCATCTCCGTGGAGTTCTCAATGTCTGATTTTTGTTAAGTAAATTTCCATGCCTTTCTCCTGAAGAGTCTCTGGGTAGACTTTCAACATTTCAGTTAGCTGCAGCATGAGTTCATTCTTTCCAAAATGTCAGGACTCTTTATCAGGGAAAGTAGAGTTTATTCAACAAGTGGTGCTGGGACAATGACTCTATTTATGACTCTATTTTCATGCAAATAACAGGTGTTCTATATGCTTTTGCAAATTGTGCAGCCCATGAGCAATTTTCATAAATACACTACAATAATTTTACATGTTGCTGACTCTGGTTGCTTGCTTCTCTTCCTGTGGAAGATTAACAGTCTATTAGAAGTTCCCCACCACTTCTAACAGATTGAGTGTTATTGGCATAAAATTTGGGATAACATTTATTGGGATATAAATCTATTCACTGAGAGAATAGAATCTAGTGGGATAAAATTTCTTTTATGGAAACTTGCTTTAAGGCAAGTATTTTCCTTAACCAAGTGCAATCAATGGTGAGCTGAATAGTCTCATCATGGAAATGGAATGCTATA